AATTTTAAACTTTTGAACAATTATTACTAATTATACGTGAGGTATTTTTAAGATAATTTGATTAATTCTATGAAATAGATCATTTATACATAACCGCATGTAATTCAGTGGCGTAGCCATAGGAAGGACTGAGGGGGCTGTACCTATATTTAAGTTTACTCAAATACATATAATTTTTATACACAGAAGGATAATAATAGTTAACTTATCATTATTATATTGTTGTATATTAAAATAATATGTTTTATATTTGTTACACCTAAATGAAAAAAAAAAAAAGAAAACTATAGAAGTAAAATTCATATTTCACACTTTTTTATTCATTCTGTTATATAATAATGAAACAGTAAGAATAATTGATAGATTTGGAAAGAAAGCAAAATTACGAGTATAGTTGAAATAGACTGTAGATGCTCTAAGATAAGGTACTACACATGGTAAAATGTTTAATTAAGTTAGCAGGTCACTACAACACCGTCTCTTGAATATTTTATTTGAGGTTGTCTAAAATGGTGACAGATTATAACTAGGACATTTAGGAAATTTTTTTAATAAGATAATCAGTTGTTAAAATGTATGTAGTGAGTTTTAGTAAAGGTAATACGTAAGGTATTTTGAAATCATATTTTTCACTTAGTTTGCTATACTAAATTAAAATTAGAAACATATTTTAAACAATCAACTAGGTAATTTATTTATGTATATAGCTGAATATCATAGTTTTGTAAATTTTATTGATTATTAAATAATACATTATTCTCAAGAAATATGAATGCTGGATACTATAATAATTTATTATTTTTTAATCAAAACACTAGGGTAATAATTTTTTAAAACTTTAAGTCTAGAGTAGTATTAATTAAGTTTTATTGGATATACAAAAATGTAATAATTTTATAATTTTAAAATAATTTTTCTACCAAGCATTTTTTTTTTTTTTTTTTTTTTTTTTTATAACATTTTAAATTTACTGAATCCGTTCATTTGAAACATTTCAACCAAGTTTATTATTTTTTTCAAATACGAATTGAGTTTTTTAATTTATCTGCGAATTGAAATTATTGTTACAACACTTAATCAAGAATAATGTATTTTTAATTATATTCTACGGTTTTTATTTCCAATAAAAAATTTTTATAGAAATAGATTTTAGTACTTTTAATGGTATTTTATTTTGCTTTGATGACTGTTCTTTGTATATTAAGATTAATAGCCCTTTATTCATGTATTAAATACATAATATATATTGTCTTATTATGAATGTACCACTCAATTTGACTTTAACTTTAACAATAAGACTGATAAGTTTTGTAAGCCACTATAATCTATAATAACGATTGGTGAAAAATTGAAGACAGAGTTATAAATTACCATGGAAAATTTCCAGTTTTGATAAAGTACGAAATATATAATATTTATAAGCACCACATTTACTATCCACTATAAAATCTCATAATATATATAATACGATGATGGCTGATATTTTGATTAGTTTTCATTGATATTGATTTGTTTTTTTATTTTTTTTTTTGTTCATCATAGGTTCTTAATTTATAAAAAAACTTAACTTCAAGTAATAGAAGATAATATTTGTTTTAATTCTATTCATTGGGTTTCCAACATATTATTCTTTTCAATTATTACAATTTGTTAATTTAAAGTTAAAAATTATCTTCTATAATTTTATTTTACTTTTATATTGTTATTTATGCCGTATAATTTATGGTTAATCCAGAATTTTTTAAACTTATTTAACTATACATCTCTATTGATTGTCATTGGTGCTAACGATATCCTAGGCTCAGGTTTGAACAAGCATTGTTCGAATAAAATATTTCGTCATGGTTATAGATACGACATGATATATACATATATGTATGAATGTATAAAGCCACAGGTAACAAATTCGTTGAACTGTTAAATTTAAATTATTTACGATGAATATAAAAATAAAAAAGGTATGTCAGTGGTCGAAAGTTTGTGCAGGTTGTGGTGAATGTGGAGCTGCCAAGCCATTGGTGAGAGTTTAAGTAGTAGAGGATAATATGTTTTTGTTATGTGCAAAGCACAGATCGGCTGCGAACATATTGTATACCATGCATGAACAGTACTATATATATATATACGTGTGTACGCTTATATACGCTATAATTTAACGATATATAATATATAGGTAATGTGAGTGGTAGAGAAAATGAAAAACTGTATAAATAGCATATGGTAAGCGTAAAAAAATGCAATACGATAGAAAATATGCTCAAAATGTAATACTTGCCTTGGAAACTGAATCAACTACCGATAGATAAAATATCGTTAGAATCATTTTTTTTTTTTAACATACCTATGTTAAGCAAAAATTAAATATATGCTTATCTATAAAAACTCGCACCTATTTTACGTTTTAAAAAAAAAGTTATGATAATATGATTTATAAAAAAACTAGTTTTTCAATTCGATAATAATATATTATCAAAATTCCATTTTGGTTTATTTTATTTTTATTTTTTTTTTTTTTTTTTAATTATCTTGAAAAACTAGTTTTTTGCCTTATTCAAGTATGATCTGTATATTTTTTTTATTCAGTTAATTTTATATCAAACACTAAATTGTCTAAAGTCATCAGATCAATAGGTCTAAATTCCTCCTTTTTCCAATGTAATTGGAAATATTTTCAAGTATAATATTAGTATGAATCAAAATTGTGTAAGTATATTACTAATGAAATAAAAATTAATCCCCAGTTTTAGAGGGTGGCATGCACTTTATATATATATCTATAAGTATAATTCAAATTATATACGCTTTGAAAAAAAGAATAAAATTTCATAATTTATGTTTGCATTCTCTTCATAGTTGACTTTGAACTATCATCGGTTAACTGTTTTATTACACGTGATATATTTAATATTTATTTGTGCTAAATTCGGTCCGTATATTCCTGTAATTTGTGTGACTTTTGGAATAGGTATTTTCAAGTCTTATTATAGCGTACAATAAGTAGATATACTGTAACATTTTATTTCGAAAAAGCATAAAACGATACAAATCACTTTTATTGTGTTATTTACGCAACACAACGATAACAATCGGCAAACAGTATAGTTATTATTTTTAAATTTTATACTATTTACACAAAACCTTTTTGTTTAAATAAAAAATTAATATTTAATTGTGCTTGATAAAAACTCCCACGTAATAATATTACGATTAAACGAGCCAACAAAACAATAATAATTACATTTTAGTTGACATTCAATAGAAATAATATTACTACGAGAACATTCATTTAATTGCTAATGACATTCTTTTCTGTTATTTTATCCAGAAATGGTTTTTATATTTAACACAATTTAATGTACTAGAATATTGTTATACGTTTTAAATTTATTTATGGTGATAATAATTATTGTATTTGTTTTAGTTTTTCTCTTACATTCGTGTCATGCAATTTTTATGATCGAAAATTTACATAGAGATTAAAGAGAAAAAATATAAAGAAGTTGCGCACTACAGTTTTGTAAATAATCCAACGAAAACTGCACGGCGTTGTTATAATATAATTTTAACATAATATATGTGAACACATTCAACCGCATGTTGGTAAAATGTATACACACATATAATTTAATTTATGCAATTTTCTCCCGTTTGTGTATATATTGTGTACAGTATACATAGTAGTTTGAATATTCTTTTGCCGAGAAAAATGTTTTCGGACTTATCGTGTCTGAAACCCACAGCGGTATACGCGTGCATGGTGCGTATATTATTATTATTATATGAAAACGTTTGACGGAGCGTAGTATAAAAAAGTTACCCACTCGTTTTGAGGCTGAACTATAAATCAATCTTCGGACGATATTTCCGTGAAAAAATAATGTCAGAGGAACGAGGCGTGTGTGTGTGTGTGTGTGTGTTATAATAGATGTTAGGTAGGTGTATATTTTATTCAGAGTATTATAATAACGTAACAAAATGCAGCTTCTTACGGTCTTCCTCCTACGCCCTAATAACAAGTCTTATCTCTACCGCGTCTTTTGATTTGTGTTCTCATACGTTTCCATTGATTATTGTGAATAAATTGATAATATTTTACGAGTGGGGGGAAAAATATGCGCATAGCCTATTTATAGTACTTAATTTCGTCTTGCTACAATCACACGAAATCGGTGAGTATTGTGTTCGGAAAGTACACTATAATAATAAAATGATATTTTTAAAACGACGAATACAAACAAGACGAAAAAATATATTTTCTGGTACGCTAGTCGAATATATTCAAAGTTTCGGTATGATGGTACCAAAGTAAAACTACCCCATCGCTGTAATTAAGATTCTTAAAATTCTGAGAAATGGCTAATTGTTGAAGTTATCAACCTATGTGCACGTTAGAATTTGTATTTAATAGTGCTAGAGTAACTGACCTTGATAATAACATTAATATAATATATTATTACGCCAACTGATGTAGTGTCGTTGTTATTGAACACGCGTGCAGTGTCAGCCAAACACGAACTGCGTTATGTTTATTACGTAAGTCATGCAAAGGTATTAAAGCGATATCGTCACGTCTTATCCGATACAAAAAAATTATCTTGTACCGTCCCTTTCATTTTTTTTTTTTTTTTGTCTTATCTTCTGCTCAGCAACAACCGTCACTTGTACTACCGTAATCGATCTGCTGACAGTAAACACCACGCGTTAATTACACATATTACACTAATTCAGTATGCCAAATCATGACGATGCAAATATCAACACATTACGTATAATAAAATAAGCCGACTGATAAAAAATGTAAATATTTTTTAGCTCATTATAATAATCATTAACGATGTCCGTTTAACGTTGATCGATTTATTTATTTGTATGCTTAATCAATATGTATGCAGTAACAATAATAATTGATGACTGCTTTGTTAATCAATTATGTAAAACCATATCTAATAAATTATGTTATTTGTGTAAGGTCCTTTTAACGATCCGAATTTTGTTCGCAGGACGTCCGCCGCCCCGAGTCACCTGGTGGCAAGAGAACGCGCTAATTGATGAGACGTTCGAAACGTTACCGGACCGGAAGGTGAGAAACGTGTTGCGCTTAGAACGACTTGAACGTCGCCATCTCAGCACCGTGTTCACTTGTCAGGCATCCAACAATCACATGGTGCCTCCCATATCGAGCTCCGTCTCATTGGATATGATACGTGAGTACATGAAAAAGTTTAAATACAAAATTATTCAAACGATGGCTCGTTTGGATTTGTTGGCTCTAAAATCAAGTACTGAATGTTCATAATAATTAATAACACAGGCCGATCGAGAGTATCGGTGTAGGACTGTCTAATACACTGAGGGTATTTGCTCATATAATAGTCATAATCTTCGGTGTATACAACAAGACTTATTTTTTTATTGTTTTAAATTGACCTTTTTTCTCTTACTAAAAATATCTAAAACTAATAACTCACTGATAATATATAGTTACACCATACAAGGAAAATAAATAGGTTTGAAAAACGATGAACGAATTATGGGATAGAAAAATATGCTATCTATAAACAAAGATGATTGTGTATTAAAGTACATATTAAGTATATAAATAGTTATTAGACCACTATTTGACGATTAGTTCAATTCCGTGAGTGTTGTATGACATAAAACAGTTTAGTATACTGATATAATTATCTTAGGTAGATACATTTCTACGAAAATTCTGCGAAATATCAAATAACCTGTCCGTTTTCCATATGCTTGTACAATACTAACTATATATATATATCTGTGGTTAGAGATACGTTTTGACAGCGATACAAATGGGTACACGGAAATTGACAAAAAACCGTACAATAGTATATTTAGGCACATTAATATATGATATATATTTTATAGGTATAGTTGTATCCGACATCCGACACATATCGATTCTCTTAAATCTAGTTAAACTCAACAATGCGATCGGCTGACCGAAACAACACGCAATAAGTCTATAAATAAAATAGTCTTAGTGCACGTTTTAACCGTTTAAATAAATAATAATACGCGACGTGCGCGACTGGTGTGTATCAAAACGTAATCAGATGCAATGGTGGTGGTGGTGGTTTATGTTCGAGAACACCGAGTAAAATTTATTACTACAACCTACTATATTATACCGATCGATGGAAATCTAAACGAAACCGCAGACCACGTCTCGTGTAATTTTATCCAACGATCCCCGATTGTCTGAGGTAGTTATTATCAAATCGTGTAGACACCTGACAAATTCAGTAACCATGAAATTTTTTTTGTTTTTATTTTTTTGTTTTTTAAACCGGCTTGATTTCGACCAGTGTCGTAAGACTTTCGGGGACTGTAAACAACGCGCGAGACAACGTCGTTCAATCATTCTTAATATGACGCGTTGAGATTTATTGTATGCAGAACTATCGGTGAAGAACTAAAAAGTCGGTGTCAGTGGACTAAAACGTCGTCGTTCTTACTGTTCTGCGCGGCATAATCCATAGACAGACGCGCACGTGCATATTTACGCATATATCGTGTAGACCTCCGAAGACGTTAACGATCGAACCGAATTTGATTTATAGCCCGTTTCTCGCCACTATCCGATTTAATTTTGGTTACGAATTATTTATGTTTTCCTCAGCCCGACAATTCGCTCGGCCGATGAGTTTAGCGAAATGTATCGATTTATCATGTGTTTAAGACTCACCGCCGCCGGATGCGTGGGTATTTTACACGTCGATATGTATACGTATAAATTGAAATACTAATAATTTTATTTGACAGCGATCGACACGACATTAATATTGTCGTATTATGTGTAATAAAAAAAAAAAAAAAATAGTCAACAAAAATAATTTTAAACGCCTTTATAAAAGTCAAATTAGCCATTTTGATGGTCCAATATCACTCAAATATTCGAAGATAAGTGCTCTAAAAACAGTGAATCTATGTAGATAAAAAACGACAGTATGAAATAAAACAAAGTCTCGTTGTTTTTATCGCAAGTAAATTGTAACTGAACAATAATTTCGAAAAAAATCAGCTAAATTGCTAATTGTTATTTTTAACGCATATTATTATCACATATATTACTAAAATCATCAAGTATCTACCCATACATTTTAACTGATCTTATTTTAGATGTATTTTTTCAATTATTGTGCTCACTATAATAATTTATGTTTCTGTGATCATTGTGAATATATGATTTGACACTTCAATACAACAATACAGATGATAAAATTTACTGGTATAGGATTATGTTCATAACATTTTTAAAATTTTTAATTCGTTTTAGGAGTAGTTTATAAATATATATATGAGTGTTCTATAGGTACCCCGCTCTACTCAATACTCTTTTTGCGTACAATAGTTTATCGTTATTTTCAAATGTGTCTCAGTGCCTGTGTTCGTCTATTATCATAATTTGGTGTTGAAAAAGAACATTTATTTTTTACTGCTTAACAAGAAAAATAAATACCTATGTCACTCACATGTCTATAATGCGCTACACCTCTTCCCATTCTCCTTATCATGATAGAATAATGGTGTATATATTTCCATAAATATAAAAAAAAAAACATTAATTTTGATAAATAAACGTGTCAAAATTTTAACTTTTTTTTTTGTAATTTAATTTAAAATAGAATTAGATTATATTTTTTCAACGTGATGTGGTAATAGATTTAAAATCTCTTTAGTATTTATATCAGCTTTAACTGACCAATATTAAATTGATCCGATTTTTTCAAATTAAAATATAGCTATTCGTTGAAATCCCATCATTATTAGCTCTAATAAGTTTTGATAAATTCCATTAAAAAATAGTGTATTAAATATAAATATATAGTATTTATTTTAGAACCATTGAATATTTTTATTAATTTCTATCTTACCAGTATAAACTTTTAAAAATTTTAGTAAATTTAAAATAGTTCCAATATCTTTCTTTTATTCATGAAATCGAGTACATTCGTAATTTTTATTCGATATTAAATTAATAAAATCTTGAAGTTAAGAATCTCACTTCAGAGAAAAATGATTTATAAATTTTATAAAAAAGTACAAAATGTAATTCTAAGAAAAATATTTTGTATGTATAAATAATATATTACATTTATAAACATTCGTGTATATACTATATGTATATTTTGTTAAATTAAATATAATTAAACAAAAAATTATTTTTAATTTTTAACTTTTAGTTAAATTAGTTTTGTTATATACGTACGTATACATATTTTTTTTTATTTATTTAAGTAAAAACTTTTTTAACTTTTTTTTTTTTTTAGTTTCTTAATAAAGTTTTCTTCAAAGCTAAGCTTATAATATTAAATTGACTTAAAATATAAATAAAAATAATAAAAATATCAGTTTCAATGGTTTTAATAAAAGTATAATTTACAATTTGTGTTACAGGGTTGATTGATAAGTTTAAATTTAATATAAATGTACCCTAATAAATTTCTACTACGAGTGTCATTTTTTCTACAACTGTAAAAAAATTAAATTATATTATTTTCATCTTGAAAATATAAATATGCAGTCGCATAATCTACAATAAACACTGTATTATGCAACCAATTAATTAAAAATAACAAATATTATATTATATAATCATAGTTTATGATGACTGACACCACGATTAAATCACATTTAATAATAATAGTAATAAATTTAATTTAGCGTTTTAAATTGCGGTATCCGAATGGAAATTTGAATAATAATATCTTACTCCTTTTATCGACATTTTATTATTGACATATTATTATTAGTGATATAAATTCAGACTTTATATTTCATACTCACTTCGCTCTGGCTATACAAAGAGCTATACAACAATCGTTTTGACATTTTTACATTGATCATTACAACGAACCGTTTAATTTTCAAGTTTTCCACACTGTACACACGAACAAAAGGATAGAGAAGCAGTGTAATTACGAACACAAACGACATGTAACAAAAGCGCGAAAATTACACAAACACGACCGTCATCAGTGAAGCAGTAACACGACACCTTCACACGCTCGAAAACACGAAAAAGTCGTCGGCGTTAAAACCTGTGAATACGACCAGAATATTTTCACAGCGCCATCATTGTCAAACAAAATATAATAAATATTGCATTTACTGTATTCCCTATAAATGAATATTATATTTCGTCCAAATCATTCAACATAATATAAACTATTGCAATCTCATCGATATTTATAAAATTAATTTCGTGTATAGACGAACGCATCAAAGAACGTTTAGTCGTTTTTGGATACGCCACACAGGCACACACACACACCTTTTCATGAACTACTTCGAATATATTGTGGTTTAACAATTTAGTGAAAATATGCATAGCGTATATGTATTATATATTATATTTTTTCGTATTTAAATCGTATATTGTGTGTGTACAAATTGCATACTACCCACCGGCTGCAAATAGCTAGCCATGTAGTAAAGTGCTCGAGTAAAATTATTCGAAATATACTTTTGAAAAAAGTGTACTTTATTGGCTACGTATTTTAAAGCACGTAAAATGTAAAAAAAAAAAATAAATAAATAAATAATAATCTATAGACGATAAACGGAAAACTTGAAAATGCTGAAAAAATTGGTTCAGTTCGATATAATATTTATAAAGTAGAACATTTCAAAACTATCTACAAATATATGTATTTATTTCAAAATACCAGTAATAATACTCTATACGGTATCGTACCGAATCACAAATACGTTTTTTTTTTTTTTTGCAAGATATTCAATCGCGTGTATTCTAAACTACATCATACGCCTATCGAAAAGAGCGCCGAACTCGGTGCACTAATCGTACTCGAATATTTTCACGAAGTATATAATATATATATATTTTATTTAGTTGCAATGCGCTGCTGCTGACGGCGGCCTCGATGGTCCTTCCACCGTGAAACGTTCGCCCACCTAGCATTATGTGTAATATTCCCCAACAGCCAAGACTATAGTCTCGGCGTGCCTGTAAATCGTAATTTATTATTAGGAGCTATACGTTCGTCTGTGCGAATGCGATTTCTGTGTTACATTATTACATTAATACGTGTTATGCGCGTGTATATATATATATATATATATATCGTAATATTGCCACCGCTGCGGCGGATTATCGTTCGGTGTAATATTTTATTGTGCACAACAATAACACAACATACCTACGTACACCCGGGGTACA